ATTATGGACCCCCTCAATCGGACACTCATGGCCTTCACTTCTCAGATTTTTTCCAGAATTATTTCATTGAGGTACCTCCATCCTGTTTCTTCTCCTTTCTTTCAGGAACTCCTATTATTTAAAAATTGGGTCTCTTGGGCTAGTCCTTAAATTTTCTTTTATATTTCTCTCCTATTTTCTGTCTTTCTTTTTTACTCTACATTCTAGGAAATGTTTAAAATTTTACTTCTTAACTTTCTCAAGTATCTTTCATTTCCATTTCTATAATTTTAAAATCTAGAGTCTTTTTCATTCTTTGAGTGTTTCTTTTTATAGTGTAACTTTTTAAAATGAATATAGTAATCTCTCATTTCTCTGAGTATAATTGTTTTAGTTTAGTTGTTTGGATTTTTATTTTGTTTTGTCATTTCCTCCCTACTCTAGGCTCTGTTTAGTCTGTTACTGTTTTCTTTTTGTTTATTTTATCTCTCTTCCATTTTAGAAGTTTTCCTCAGATGATCGTCAGTTGTCTGCTCATATTTAAGTGTGAGACTAAAAAGCGTACTGAGAATCCTAAGTGTGTAGACTGGGCTTGACTTTATCTTAGAGAAACCTACCTGGGCCATTTCCTTAGGGAACCCAAGAAGTCTTCATGGCCACAAAGGGTCAGGAAGCAGGGAGTAGGGCTGTTCTGATCTCTCATTTTCAGTGTGACAGCCCTGTTCTCCGCTGTACCTGCTGTCCCATAGTCCATAGCTTTTCTATTTTATTGTCTTCCTAGAATAAACCTCTTGTCTTCTGTTGGGGGGTGGGGTGGGTGGCTTGGGTAGGTGCTCAGCTGTGTGTATGTCCAGGGGGTCAGAAACTTGAGATTCTAACAATTTCTTAGTCAGAATGTAAACCAATCTTTGGGCTCTTTTTTTGGCGGGGTGGGGGGGGAGTTGGGGCCTCTTCTGCCCCACTTCCAGGGGTGACTGGCGCTACCAGTTTGGGGCCTTTGGGGAATTCTGAAGCATAAATTGGGTTCAATCTTGGATTTTTCTGTTTGCTAGTTTAGGATTCAGCTCTCTTGGGTCTGCTAAGCCAGTTATTGCTTATCTGTCATCTTTTAATCTTCTAAAAGTTTGATACTGTTTTCTCCTCTCCTGACCTCTTTGTTTTTATAGGTTACATATCTTTTAGAAATACCTTTACAGTCATTTTAGTGAGATTTTAAGAAGAAATGAAGCAAATGCCTGTGTTTAATCTGACATCTTTAATAGAACCTTATTAAACATTTAAACTAATAAAGGACCTATTTGTCATCATTCTGTTTACTGAAATTTTCCAAGTGTGAAAGATATGGAAGTAATGAGAGCGGGGCCCTTTGTACCACAGTTCGATTGCTCTAGGTGGTGGGAGCCGGTAGAGCTGGCCGGTCTGGCCGCAAGACCACACACGTCCTTAGCAGCCTGGCATCGTCTAGTCAGGCCAGACCGTATTGCGCTTGTGGTGTATTTTTGAGATCATCTGTGACCTTTTGAGTTTATTTGTAATTCTGCATAGATTTCCTCTTCCCTTACTGTTGGATTTGAGGAATTCTTGAAGCAGGGTGACCTCATGTCTCAGCACACTTAACCTCAAATTTTGTGATTTGGGGTTTCATTCCTCTGTTTATGCAGCTCCAACTTTCAGCTTTATTTTTGTGCCAATCATACTAAAGTTTGCCCTTTTAGCTTCTGCCTTTTGCGTGGAATATTTTGACTTTTTCTGAGCTATTATTCAACATGATTATTCTCACATTGTCTTGAGAGGGGGGTATGTGTGGATGCAGTTTTGTCTTAGGGGTTTTATAGCTCAGTGTTAATTTGAGAGTAACCTACGGTTATAGACTGAGGGTTTATGTCCCTTCAAAATTCCTATGTTGAAGTCTTAACCACCCCACCCCACCCCACCCAACCAGTATGGCCATATTTGGGATGGGGTCTCTGAGGCAGCAGTGAAGGTTAAATGAGGTCATAAGGTGAGGCCCTGATCTGATGGGGTTGGTGCCCTCATAAGTAAAGACACCAGAGCACCCCCACCCGCATCCTCTGCTTGTGCACATACTGAGAAGATGCCACGCAAAGCCAAAGTGAGAAGGGGGCTGTCTGCTGGAACCTTCGCCTTAGGCTTCTAGCATCGAGAACCGTGAGAAAATTAACTTTTGTGGTTTAAGACACCCAGTCTATGGTATTTTGTTATGCAGCCAAGCAAACTAATACACCAGCCTTCTGTCACATTTACTTGGTCTTCTAGTTTGTTTTTTTAGACATTGGCAGTCCGAGTTGTCAGTTGACAGATATTAGCTTATAGTTGTCATATCCATGCAACTAATTTCTTCTGTTTTAAGCCAGGGTAGAGTTCTGTATTTAGGAGACCAGATCTTCAAGCTGCATTAGGAGTTAGGAAATCAGTGCAGTGGGTTGCAGCTGGCAGTTTTTTAAATGAAATACATTGCCTATAGTTTTGTGAAAGTTGTGTTTCCAGAGTATATGTATGTGAATGTGTATACTAGATCAAGATATAAAATATGTTTCTTACTGTAGGTTGTGGCAAAGAAAGGTTTTAAATCTATTGCTGTAGTCCAAGCTAATCTTTTAGTTCCTCTTGGAATATCCATGGCAAGTGATTCTCGTCAGAGTTTGAGGGAGAAGGAAGACCGGAATTGTGGACACTGAGGGTTCCGAGTTCAGACCTACAGCTCTGAACCCCAAAAGGGAAAGAAACAGGGAAGAGGAGAACATGGTGTCTGTTTAACTCGGCAAGCAAAGCAGGGAACCCCCAGGAGGACTCTTCTTAGCAGGGCCAAACTCCTGGGGGCTGGCTGTGATTTATCACCTTTCTCTGCATTCCCAGAGCGCACTCACTGCACACACCATGTTATACTATAACTAGTTTTTAATTGTCTGTGACTGGGCCAAGTACATAGTTGGCACTCCATAAATGTTAGTAGGAGGGAGGAATAAAAGGTAGGCATTGTTATCGGCCTTGTTTTACTGTCATCCGAGTTAATGACATGTTTAATCCTGCACTGGTTGGGAAGTCAGCCCACTTCCAGTCACGTGTGAACGTTGTGCCCTTTATCACGAGTGCACTGTGAACAGAGTCCACACTATTCTATGGAGCCAATAGCAACAGAATTCCATCCTGTCTCTCAAGATGTCGGGAGAACAGGTGGAAATGTTTTCATTGTATGGACTTCTAGCTTTATTAAGAGAGGTAAGGAGGAAGAGGTTATAATACGTCAGGTATAGTCATGAAACCAACAGTCTTGGCAGGATGTGGGGGGAACGGGGGAAGTGGCTACGGAAGCAAGTATAACGTGCTCTTGTTGGGCGAGTTCAGGGTGCAGTGAAGGCCTGTGGCAGGGGACTGTCACGGTCGTCTAAAGGGATTCAGGAGGACTTCCCAGAGCAAAGGACATTTATGAAGAGATTTGAGGCTTAAGTAGTAGGTGTGAATCAGACAGAGGTAACAACATAGGAGTCACCAGAGGGGGCGGGTAGTTCATGAGCAGCCTCCAGTTGGAGCTGTGACGTTTAGATGGCATGTCCTAGGTAGTGGCGCTCTATTCTGCTGTAGGCATAGCCATCTACTGCAGCCTGCAGAAGCTGGAAGCAGCCCAAACTGGAATCAGACAGTCAGTCAGCCGGCAGACTGTTGCCGACTTGTAGAAGTGAGGGCCTGTCTTAGGGCAGTGCCAGGATGTGGCCATGGAAGTACAGCTAAGGAAGAATTGATAAGGCCTGACCATGTTTGGGGTGTAAGCGGCCAGGGAAAGGAGGGGTACCTTTGACTCTAGTTTTGAGGTTCAGCACCCGGGGATGACAGTGATTACTTTCCTAGTGGTAGAGAATATTTGAGAGCACTCAGCCTTGAGAGGGAAAATGGTGGGGAATGTGGATTCTACATCTTGGGTTGTAGAATTCATAGAGCTCTTAGGGCAACTTTTCAAGGAATGGTCATATTAGAAGAAAATTTTTCATGATTCATAGGTAGACTAAACTTTCCCATTTATGTGGCATTTTTTCCCTTAGAAAGCTCCTAGCCGTTGGGTAAAAAATTAGATTTTATTCAAATACAGCATATTTTAATATTCTAAATCCAGGAACCTAAATATTTTCAATATTTTTCTCAGCTAGGACATGAAATTGTTACTCACCTTGGTTCATAATCAGGTTTTTTAAAAAAACGGTGGCATAACAAAGATTTGTCCATTTATAAATCAAATATCAATGTATTATACATTTACACGATTGAAAGCCAAGTGGTTGCTTTGAATTAAAAGCCTTCACAATTCAATTTGTAGTTCCTTCAGAGCCTCCTCGACTTACATTGTCTTTTCTTCATTCGTGATCATTATTCTAGAGTGACTTTTGAGAAGCAATTTTCTTAAAAGAGTACAAATTGGATTATTCCCGTTTATTGAATTGAAATTCTTCCCAGGGCTTTCCGTTAATGAGATATTGTATTCATGTTAGGCTAAAAGGGCTAGTTTGAGTCATTAAGTTAGCGTTTCAGAATTAGAAAGTCATCGATTAAGCTTCACTAATAACTCAAGCAAAATTTACTAATAAAGGGATTCCACTAGGTGCTGCTAACACAAGCATGAAAATTCATACCAGGGAAAACTGGCAACAGGAGGAATCTGAATTAGCTTGACCATTAACACGTGATAATGCCGAAAACTGCATTAATCTCCTTCCAGTGATATTGCTCAAGATAAACACATCCTTGACTTTCAGTTCTAGGAAGTATTCTTTATTCAGCGACTGGGTCTTCCAGGTCCAGCACGGAAGTGGTCCTAAGGGAAAAGAAACTCTCCTCTGACTGTGTATAGAACATTCTGCTTTGATACGGAACCATGTCTGGAGCTCAAAAGAATTTTCTTTAACATGATAGGGAGAAAGTATCAGGCTCATTTTTGATTTTTTTGATGCTTACTTGACATTTTTTATGGGTGTTTTGAGTTCTGACCTGACTACTTTTTTTCTTGCCAGTTTAAGATTGGCAGAGAATGGTGGACGTGGATTGATTACAGCCGCTTCCAGGAGCTCATCCAGGAATATGAAGACAGTGGTGGATCCAAAACTTTCAGTGCCAAGGATTACATGGCCAAAACTCCTCACTGGGCGTTGTTTGGTGCCAGCGAAAGAGGCTTTGATCCCAAGGACACAAGATATCAGAGAAGGAACAAATCAAAGGATATTTCTGGGTGTTGAGATTATCTGAATTTAGGATACCGAAGGACACAAACTGATTGCCCCAGAAGGTTCTCAGACTCCACTGTGATTTTTCCAAGGACAAATTACACAAATTATATTTCACATAGAGAAGGGTGTAAGGGGACGCAAGTCACATCCTTAGGCTCAGGAGACAGCAGCCACGCTTTGAGCGCCTGGGACTCAGCCTCACCGTCTCTTTCCAGAACTCAGTCCCTTTTCTGAGTTTACTTCTGAAAGAAAATCGTTTTGAGGGGGAAGTACACAACCTTTATTAGTTTTGAATTATAATTAGGAAGACTGCCTAGAATGCCAACCATGGGAGTGTCGTGCAGAGTGAATTTCTGTTCCTCTTCCCCCGTCATGGGCTGTTGGCCTTTGTCAGTTGTACTACCCTGAGGTCAGTGTATCTGCTTCCTCTAAGATCTTCATCCCTTTCTTACATCTTAAGATAACACTTCCTGAAAGTAATCTGTCATAATTCTCAATTATTTTATTTTATTTTATTTTTTATTTTTTCTCAATTATTTTAAATACTACATAGATTTCTTTAAATATTCATTTAGTACCAACTCTTTAGAAGCTGATTTGGATCTAAAACTGTACTAGATCTCATTCCACTCCCATACAGATTGCCATAGAAAGTAGTATGTGAGCTGGATTAGAGTAAAATCTCTCTTCTTCTGTAAGAGGAATTGTCATATGATGTCACTGAATAATTAGTCTCACAAATTAGTGAAACAATGAGTACAATTTGTTTTTGGTTTGAAACGTCAGTGTTTAAGCCTCTCGTCGCTACACATATAGCAGGTCTCCATCTCCTCTCACTCTTATAGCCCTATAGCAACTTTCTGCAATCTGTTCTTTAAGTTTCAAGTTTCTTCCTAGTTGAAAACATCACTAAATACTCAGTAGTCTTTAAGAAGTATTATAGTTATTTTAAAAATTCCTTTATCCTAAAATTGTAATAAAATATCTTTTGTGAAGACTTGGACCACACATTTTCTTTTGAGCGCTTATTTTAAAGATGCTTCTAGTCCCGTGGTTCTAAGCCCTGTCAGACCCATCTCCTCCTTATATTCCTCCTCTGTTCTCTGCTGAAGTAAAGTTCATAATAATATAATCTATTTACTCATTTAGTTGAAAACTGGGCACTGTATTTATTTCTAAGTGATAGAGTCTCTCTGTGCCATAGGATGAAATCAGATGTTCTTGAAGTCACCACATCTTCAAGCATGCGTTCAGTCTCCTGTTGACCCCTGAGACAGACAAGTGATGGGGGTGGTCCAGGCCGGTGAGGCAGGCGCTCACTGAAGCTCAGATGTGTTAATGGTCGTTGAGTAGAGATGGAAAATCTCTATTCAAACCTTAAATTAGAGCAGAATATTAAAAAGCAAGAGCTCATGCTAAGGAGCACACAGATGGGCTCCTGTTTGTGACAGCTAACTGGGCACACAGCTGTAGGAAGACCCCTCTGGGGCTGCCGTAAGGAGCAGGGCAGGCGGCAGTGCATGCTGGACTTTGGACCGTCCCTCAACCTCTTTTTCAACCGGGCAACGCTGCCTTTATTTTTTATGCATTGAGGTCCTGCTCAAGATTTAATTTGAACGAAGATATTCTGTTGCTTCAAAGAAAAAAAAGCAAAAGCAAACCTCTCACCACCAGAATGAGCCCTCCTGACTCCATTAACTTTAGGGACATAAATGAGCAGTTTTTCTCCTCTGCCTCCCAGGAAGTGTTTGCTTTATATATAAAAAAAAAAAATAACATGGCATATTAATCCTAGTTCACAGTCATAGCAGAAAATTTTAAATGCCTAGGGGAAAAAAATACAGTGGAATCTGGATGAAAAAAATTAAATGTTTGCTGAGCAGTATTAAAGTAGAAAAGATGGGGAAGCTTGAATATTCTTAGAAGGTGAGCTATTTGAAAAATAGCAGTCTAGACGTCCAGTGGAAGTTATTGTTGGAGTTTGAGCAAGCGATTCTAAAATTCTGCTGAAAAACTAGCCAGGTAAGAATAGTTACAAGATTCTAGAAAAATAATTATTCAAGGAAAATTGCTTTACAAGATATTAAAGAATGTTGTCTAAAATAATTCAAACAACATGAAACAAGAGATCAGCTTCCAAAATGACAGAGTGAGAACCTCAGTGAACTCTCTCCCTCTAATAAAACAGTGGAAATATGGGCAAAACAACTAAAATCAAAGAATTTTAGAACTCCGACAGTTTAACCAAAGCTTTGCCGTGAGCTGAAAATCATCTGTTAAGAGAAGCTACTGAACCTTAATAAAATTAACAGTTTACTTCTCATCCGAAAGCATGGAGGCCAAAAGACAGTGGAATGGTATCTTAAAAGAGCTGGAAGAAGAGACTTTCAACCAAAAATTCTATGCCTAGCTTAATCTTCCTTCAAAATTAAAGAAGAAATTAAGACATTTTCAGATAAGCAAGAAGTAAATTCATCACCAGCAGACCTGCCTACGAGGAGGAGTCCTCAGGGCTTAATGAAAGTACGTTAGGCACTAACTTGAAATCACATGAAGAAATAAACAGCACTGGTGAAAGTAACTACGTAAGTTTTATAGAAGACAATATAAATGTACTTTTGTTTGTAACTCTCCTATCTGTTTTCTAAGATAGCTGTGTAAAGCAATATTTATAAAACTGTGTTGATGGACTTAGAATGTATACAGATGTAATTTGTATGACAGTAATAACATGAAAGAAGTGTGAGGGGAACAGAGGTATATTGGAGCAAGTCTTGACTACCCACTGTTGAAATTAAGTGGGTATGTTTCCAAAGCAGATTGTTTTAAGATGCTAATTGTAATCCCAAGAGCAACCACTAAGAGTAAATTTTAAAAGTTATAGTAAAAAAAATACGATTCTGCTCACAGTTTCAATGTGTGGATTTTCCACCACCACCCCCCCACACACACACCAAACAGTTCTCCAACACCAGCTGGGTGTCCTGCAGTTCAGCTTAATTCTGACACTGTCTACCTGGAGATAGCATCAGATCCCACAGGTTAAGTGCTCTGCCCCCCAACTTCAGATGCCAGTCACAAGTCCAGGTTGTCACCTGTGCTTCTGACCAACCAGCTATAGATTGGAGGTTCCCGTGGGTTTGATAAATGTACTAGAGCAGCTCACAGAACTCAGAGAAACATTTTACTTACTAGATTATTGGTTTATTATAGAAGGGTATAACTCAGGAACAGCCAGATGGAAGAGATACACAGGGCAAGGTACGTGGGAAGGAAGATAGGACTTCCATGCCTTTTGCAAGCATGCCACTCTCCCAGATCATGTGTTCACCAATCTGGAAGTTCTCCAAACCCAGTCCTCTTTGTTTTTTTGTTTTTTTTGTTTTTTACATCTTTACTGGAGTATAATTGCTTTACAATGGTGTGTCAGTTTCTGCTTTCTTTTGGGTTTTTATAGAGACTTCATTACATAGGCACGATTGATTAAATCATTGGCCATTGGTGATTGACCTTAATCTCCAGCCCCTCTCCCCTCTCCAGAGGTCCAGGGGTGGTTCTGAAAGTTCCCAACCCTCTAATCACTTGGTTGGTGGCCCTGGCATCAGTCCCCTTCCTTAGGTTACCTAAGGGCTTTCCAAAGTCGCCTCATTAACATAACAAAAGATACCCATTGTTGTTGTTGTTGTTGTTATTGTTGTCATTGCTTAGGAAATTCCAAGGGTTTTAGGAACTCTATGCCAGGAACTGGGAGAGAATAAGTATATTTAATAATTTAATATTTATATTTAAATAATGTATATTTCTTATTATAAATCACAGTATCACAAAGAAATGAGAATTTAAAAGGTACACTAGAAAATATCTATTTAGAAGACAGTAACAGTAACAAAACAACAAAGATCTAAGACATTCAAAAAACAAATAGCAAAAATGTCAGGCACACATCTTGCCTTATTGGGTAAGTATATTATGTAAGTAGATTAAATACCCCAATCAAAAGAGGCAGAATGTATTTTTCTTTTAAATCCAATTATATGCTGTTCGCAACACACACACTTTAGATTCAAAGACTAAAAGGATCGAGAAAGGTATACCATGGAAGCAGTTACCAAAAGAAAGCTAGAGTGGTTGTACTAATATCAAGAAAATAGACTTTAAAACAAAACAAAATTGTTAGCGGGGACAAAAGGGACATTTTATAATGATAAATTGTAATTATTATAATTATTTATAATTACATCTTACTAGCAAGATGTAATTTTAAACATGCATGGACCTAACAACAGAGCCCCAAAATATGTGAAGCACAACCTGGCAAAATTGAAGGGAGATGATTCAGTAGTAATTGGAGACTTACATAACCCACTTACAATAATGGATAGAGCAACTAGGCCAAAGCCCAAAAATGAAATAAGAGATTTGAGCAACACTATAAACCAAATACACCTAAAGGCCTCCATAGGACGCTCCACCAACAACACGTTATTCTCGAGTGCCATGGAACATTCTCCAGTATAGACCATATGTTAGATCATAAAACAAGTCTCAGTAAGTTTAAAAGGATTGAAATTATGCCAAGTATAGTCTCTGACCAATGAAATGAAATTAGAGATCATTAGAAATCAACAACAGAAGAAAATTTGGGAAATTCATAAATATGTAGCAATTAACCAACATCCTAAACAAACAATGGGTCAAAGAGAGAATCACAAGGAAATTAGGAAAGACTTTTGAGATGAATGAAAATGAAAACACAACATACCAAAACTTATGGGACGCTGCTAATATAGTGCTTAGAGGGAATTTTTTTTTTTTTTCCTTCGGTATGCGGGCCTCTCGCTGTTGTGGCCTCTCCCGTTGCGGAGCACAGGCTCCGCACGCGCAGGCTCAGTGGCCATGGCTCAACGGGCCCAGCCGCTCCGCGGTATGTGGGATCTTCCCGGACCGGGACACGAACCCGTGTCTCCTGCATCGGCAGGCGGACTCTCAACCACTGCGCCACCAGGGAAGCCCTGCTTAGAGGGAATTTATAGCTGTAAGTGCCTACGTTAAAAAGAAGATACATCTCAAATTAATAACCTAACCTTCCATCTTAAGGAACTAGAAAAAGAACAACTAAACTCAAAGTGAGCTAAAGGAAAAAAAATAATAAACACTAGGGCAGAAATAAATAAAAGAAAGGAAAGAAAAGCAAAAGAAAAAAATCAGTGAAACCGGAAGTTTGTTCTTTAAAAAAATCAACAAAATTGGCAGACTTTTAGCTAGACTCACCAAGAAAACAGGAAGATGCAAATAGCTAAAATCAGCTATGAACGCACAACTTTCTGAATATACTAAAAACTATACTATACACCTTAAATGAGTGGATTTTAAGGTATATGAAATATATCTCAATAAAGCTTTTTTTAAAAAAGCACAGAGGCAAACCTTAATGTTTATGAAAAACAGTATAGGATATAAGGTAAGGAATATAGGATAAATCA